AAACTACAAAGCACCAGGTTGGGAAAAAAAAAAACATGGCAATATGGTGTCAATGAAAAAAGGTCCCAATCTATTTTTTGAACAAAAGAATTCATGGATCACGCAAAAAGTGACCTTACTGATTTATTTGATAGGGGTGACAGCTACTAAAAAGCATGGATTTATCCAATCCACAATCAGTTATTTGTGTTCTGCTTCCTTAAAGAACTGGCCCATCAATGCAAAAGACTAGAAAATTAACAAATAGAGAAGCAAATAAATCTTGAGTACTGAAACTCTCGTGATTTAAATACCTTATAAACAGAGTACAACGTCAGAAGAAGCCCAATCTAATAGTAAGGCTTAATAGTCCATCATGGCCTCAGGAAGTAGAGGACACAACTCTAAGACTTCTACTCCACCCTTTTTAAAGCTTTCAAAATTCCATAGTTCTCCAGTGTGGGATTCAGTGGCAAATCTACACGTCTACATCTGAGCTGGTCGCCTGAGCTCTCTCTCTAAGCAATGGGAAAAAATAGGTGCTTCAAAAGTTACATTTACCTTGTTCTAAAGTGGTTGTATGAATCCTAACATATGAAGCTCCACTAACGGCATTACTTCATCTTAATTATTTCCATTGATTATATGGGATGATTAACCTAGTCCTCTGGATCAGTTAACCTTAGGTGAAAATCCCTTTGCTCTGCTGCAGGGAAGGAGAAAAAGTTTATGAAAGCAAGGCATTGCTACTATATTCATCAGTCATCACTGCTAGAGCAAAAATTTCATGTTTATTTTGTACTGTACGATGTGGAAAGTAGTTTAATGATCGACATCCCCAGTATTAGCAGAGATGGCCGACCACTGCTCTGGGGGTCACAGCCCACTTGCCTTTTTCTGTTCCAGCTAATCTTGAAGTGGACCAACCACTGGAGAATTCTAAGCAGAACAACTCACTGCATTTCAAAAACATCTGACAGAATGCATATTTTCTCCTGCCTGAAAAAGGTCATATCAGAGCGTGTCTTTACTGACACAAATTTACCAAGGCAAGCTTTCCATAACACACCAATCCACAACTCAGGAGACAGAAAACACAAATACCAATTTTCTGCATATCTTTACAGTCTTTACCATCTCTGTGTAATAATTTAGATGTCATCTGACTACCAGAGTCTTAAGGACAGTAGAACTCGATCACCCAATTCAAATGTATTGAAAATACATCTAGTAACATCACTAATGTAATATTTTTTTGTTACTGCTGAGCAAAGCTGTTCCTCTCATTAAACAGATTTCAAAGTCTCTCTTTCTAGTCTTTAACTTTTTTTGCATGATATGGTCGTCTTTGGACAATTTTCATTTGTATGAAGAAAAGAGAATTGTTACTTGTTCTTTCTGACCCTGACAAAAAGATCAGGAAGTAGGAATGACAATATCAAATTCTAGTCCATTCTAGGCCCCAAACTTATTTGAAGATTCAACCCTGGAATCAATATCTTGATAAAAAATGCTTTACTTCACAGTTCACTGTGAACTTTTTGACTCTTAGTTCGGTCATAGGACTATTTTTAATTTTTACAATTTTACAATCCGATTTTGAGCCCTTGATGACTTGGTGAGTCAAGACTAAGAACAGAAGGTACCAGGGAAAGCACACTGAAGGCCACTGGAGTCAGCCAATCTCCTCAGAAGCTTACAGAAGCCTAGTTCTGTGGCAAGAAAGCATTCCCGTTCTGCATTAACAGGAAACTTTACTTTTTTTCCATTTCCACCTTCTTGCACCACAGTCACTTCTTGTTTCAAGTTAAGGTCTTTGAGAAGGAAGCAAAACAAAATCAATGAAAAAACAAAGTAATATCCTGTTTTAATATCATTAAAGTACTACCTTTTTTAAGCACTATTTTTTTCTCCCACTTCTATCATATCAACACGGGATAAAAAAATTATTACAAACAAAAAAACTCTGAAAAGCAGCTCCACATTTTTCCACAGGAAAGAAAAAGAGATTATATCATGAGCACACTTACTGAAATTCTTCTGTTTTGATGAAGTTTGCAAAAAATACTCTACAATACAAGAATAACTGCAACCTTTTTACCCCTTTAACTATGAAGAAGCTAGTTTATCTTAAATTTGAAGAATATTGTGAAGGGTATAATTTTAAGGAAGAGCTTTAAAGAATGTGGCTTGTTTCCATAAACGTGATACTAACCAGACATTCCTTAATTTAGAAGATAATAAATTTGTTTTCTGCCTAACATACACATAAAAAAAAAGGGTATATAATATTAAGCAGAAGTATGGCTCCAAAAACTTGTCTCAACAAAATAGTCACTGACATATTAAGTTAACAAAAGTACAGATATTTCGGTGGCAAAAAAAGGAAAATGCAATCCTTTTATAAAGAAGTGTAATAATCTACTTCTGGAATGGACACAATATTAAAAAAAACCAAACCTTACACAGCATATCATAAGCCATCTCTCGTAATTTAAAAAAAAAAAACAACACAAACATCAATTGTCTGCTGAGACATAAGCATTACACTGATTTCAGTAAGATCATTTACAGATATGGCATTCCCTTACTTTATAAATTGGTTTTAAATTACAGTTGATGTGTTTAGTTTCTTCTAAATAAATTAGCATAGTACTAATATAACTGTGAAGTTAGTTTGCTACCATTTTTTTGCTCTCACATGATTTTATGAGGTTTATGGAAGAGCATTAGTAAACTACATATAGAGACAGATAAATTTTGTAACTGCTGTCCTATTATCAAAAGCTAAAATTCCAAGAAGAATTAAATACACAGAACATGAACATAACCTTTTAAAAGAGGTACTTTAAAAATCTCCATAGAAATAAACCAGAATACATATTTTAATACATATTTAATTACATAGTTTAATCTTCTAAAAGGCTTTGATAACTTTGATAACTTTGAAAAACAGCATATTACAAAACTGTAAGGGATTTGTACCCCGCTTTGTGTAGGCATTGCAGAACAGACGATAAAATTCTCAATTCATTGTGGATGTCCTTGCTGGTTTCCCTTTCCATGACCTCCAGACTCAGGGTTTGGATATAAAAAGAAAAGTCTTACAGGACTTTTTGCATTTTTTTTTTGTTCATTTGGGTTTTTTAATGGCAGAAAAAGGCTGACCCGATCAAATCAGCACTGCAAAATGCACTTTGAAGCCCCAAGGCCTTCCTAAAATAGCAGTGACTTCCTGTGTAATCACCACAGGGAGAACACTCCTGTCCCTCGCAGTGTAGAAGCCCACTGGGGCTGAAGACTGAGACAGCTCCCTGAGAAGGCAAGTCAGTCTGCACCAATTGCTGCAGTGTCATGAGCAGAGCAGCCCTGCAGAGCTGATGTGGGACGAGGGTGACAATAAGTAAGTGTACCCAGTTCTCTGCTTGCTCCCTGAGGTCTGAGACTTCTTCCCTCCTCACAGAGCAACTACACCACCCTTAATTCAGGGAACAGGACCTCTGTCAACAAAGCTCAGGAAGGATCTGTTCCTTACAGAAACGAGTAGTCACCGAGCAATCTTTGTTTCCTTCCCTTTAAGCAGGGAGTATTTACACCAGCTCTGACACCCAGCAGCATTAGCACTGCAGTGTGATCAAAGGTAACTGTCCCACATGCCATGTCACACCTGCCCTGACAGAGCAGCAACAGGGCACTTCCCACTGCCTCACCTTACTCCCTTCCCTGACACTGTTGGGCTGCTCTCTCCCACAGACTGTGACCGTAATAACAGTCTCTCCTACAGCAACAAAGGAACAAACTGAACTTTGCACACACTTGGATGATGTACTGAGAAGGTCCTGCCCAACCCCATCACTGAACTAATCTTTAGTCCACCATCTTTGAACCTAGACTGAGCTCAAAAATAAAAGAAGCGGGGTATGAGTTTGCTTTAACCAGATTGCTGTCCTAGATCATCAAACCAGATACATTACAATCTTTGTACTCTCTGTCAGAACACTGATTAGCTTCATCATGTTGCCACTGTAAAAATAAAAGTGAATTGGACATGTATCACAAAAGGAAAGGGTGTCTGCTGGCTGAGTGTCACATGCTATGGTTTTAGGACACCACTAAAGTTACGACCTCTAAACTAAAATTTGGTAATTTTCTAGATTTTAATTTGAAAGTTCCTAGGAAAGGCACTCTTAGGCTAGGAAGTAGAAAAGAAGCATGTTTTGCAAGAAACTAGCTGGTCGAATTCCTGTCTGATTGATAGAACGTTTTTATGTGGCAAGGGTGATCTTGCAATATTAATTGTTAAGGTGCCTAGAGCCCTTGTATATGCATCCTTTTATTATTTAAATATTGAAATAAATAAATCAGCTCACTTAAGCAACCAGCAATCCAGATTTGTTAGAATTCTTTCATTAATTTTGATGGTGCTGAACCCCAGATCTGTTAAAAGACTGCAGAAGAGTAAGTCAGTCACAGTCTCTTGTAACTTCTAAATGTAAATACCTCAGCTGTAAGAAATCAAAAGTTATCTAGATTTCTTTCATTCATTGGGTTTTTAAATAACTAATGGGGTATTAAATGCTTTACCACAGAAGTCAGCACTTGGGCTTGGCTAAATAGTAATTCAAAATTACAAGAATGTGTATGTCGGTACACTCAGCTTCCACCCCAAAGGAGATATTTCACAAAGGTTCAGAAAAAAAGAAGAGAAGAAGACAAAACAAAAAGGCAGCACAATTTTAAATATAATTACTGTCACAATTTTAACAATAATGTTACAAATGTGATATAATTGGTAAATACCCAAATTAGTAAAACCGAGGAGATATTTAAACTCTTTGATATGTTTAACATCAGGCGAAATGAACCATCATTATTTAATAACAACTTCAATTTTTTAAATGCCAAGTTCAACTAAAAAGGGTAGGGTCTAGGGAACTTTAAATTTAAATGATTATGATGACTAGAAACAAAGGAAACAATAAACTTATGGATGTTAAAATGCCTTGAAAAAGCCAACTTACGCTGCAGCTTCTTGTTTTGACAACCCTTTGATATTCTTCGCCAAATAATCATCTATGCCATCTTTGTCTTTGATCAAATGAATCCTAAATTTAAATGAAAAAAATTAAAAGAAACACTGTAAGGTGCTAACATAGACTTCTGCAGCATGTATAATATATTATCATTGCCAAGTAGAGCTAAATACTGAAATATTGACAAAGTAATATATCAGACATTCTATAAACACATACAAATATCTTTTTAATTTTTTGGTCTGTAGCTATTTCAAATCTTTATTTCTAAAAGAAAACAGAGATGGTATTAGCTTTAAAAGATCTGGTTATCTGATATTTCAGTCTGAACTAGAAGAAACCGTGTATTAGCTAAATCAATAATAATTGATTAAGCTATCCATATTTAAACTGCTTCCTAAAACCAGAACCATCACATTTTTGCATTTTCAGTATGGACCAGAGTGGTCCAATCTATTTCATATTTAACTTTTTCAAAATTTTTAAAAAATAAAAGAAAACAAATCAATAAAAAAATTACCAAATCCAATTCCAAATGCTATCCTTGGTACAATGCAATCTTTTAATACTACTCGACTTCCCGCAGTTTGATCAGCATATTGTAAAAGATGGTCCACTAAGGGGGTAATCCAAAGGGTATTAAAATAAAGAGCAAATTTCAGAATGCATGGATCTAATTTTAATATTTGAACTGTGCATCATTTCACCTTTCACTTCAGCCATCATCTCTTTGCATCTCCACTCTGATACACAAGAAATGCCTTCAAAGGATAATATGCACTTACTGACCATAAAGTGTATTTAAATAGAATCTGAAATCCTCAGTGAAGAGGATATTATATTTATAAAATTAATGTGAATTTATTTTTATTCTTCTGTAAAAGAGCATAAAGATTGTCTGGTTAATCACTCAGAGATAAAAGAAATTCAACATTAGTGTTCCACATAAATCTATTACTTTCCTCTTTCTCTGTCTGTATTACATTGCTGTCTTTCATTACAGTGATGAGAGTAAATTCTTTTCATAATGTTAGCTAATATAAGCACCATGCTCCTTATTGCTCTGAGAATACCAAAGACACTTCATGAAGTTCATTTAAATGAAAACAAAATAGCTAAGCAAAGCAGAGATATTTTGACATATCTGTATTTAAAACAATGTAACAGTGAAAACTTCCGTCACAAACAGTGCATTTAAATCTGTTCCAGAATTTGCTACTGCTGAGCGGCACCAGCAGAGGCTTGTGCTTCCAGGCTGCACTTATATAACACTGTCCACGTGAGTTGTGCTGATCTTGCTAAATGTGCACCTCATGGCTATGGCCATAAAAATTCAGTTATAATCAATACCAAAACATTAAAATCAAAATTTTAACACCAAAATAGTCACAATTTAGAGAGATGTGCAATGTCGTTTGGATCATGAAGATAAGGAAATTATTGTTTATTTTAAACTGATGTAAAATATATTCAAGATACTATAGGTTTATATGAGGTAAGATACTATAGGTTTATATGAGGTAAAATAAAAAATTGAAAACCAGTATTTCTGGACAAATAAATATGAAGTTTCAAGTAGACAACACAATAAAAACCCTGGGTGACCCTTGTAGTTTAAGGTTCCAAAAATGAGATTTCTTCACATCAGTAGCATAGAGAGAACACATCAGATATTTGGTGGGATGGAAGTCCAAACCTCCAAACTGAAACAGTCAACTAAAATAGACAATTCCTAAGCATCACTATCATCTTGGTGCAAATTTATCTACACTACAGTTAAAAACCATCTCAAACCAGAACAAAGGAAAACTTGGTGCCTTATCATTGTTTTCACAAAAGTATTTTCATTAAAAAAAAAAAAATAATGGGAAAAGCCCTCAGAAGCATATACAATTTAAAATGTCACCAGCCTTATATCCAAGGTATAAATTTCTGATTTCTTATTGGTTATGCCCTCAAGCTGAAAGACAACTACAAGGGAAAAAAAAATCCAAACAACATAAGCAAAAACTTGCAAAGTAATTACTGTTTACATCAGCTCTGCAATAACCTGTTTTGGATTGATGCAACCTCAAACACAGTCACCCATTAAAAAGAACAGAACTTCATGAAAATAATAAATATTTATCTCATCCTGGCTGTTATTATCAATGATGTTAATGTAACAATAACACAGAAAAGGCAGGCAGATGATACATAGGAAAAAACTCACTAGAAAATTCCATCATTATTTAAAATGGCTTGTTATATGCAATTAGAATTAAAAACAATGCAATTAATTTATGTGAAGAACTGAGACTGTGACTCGGAATAGACACTGTTTCTTCACAGCGAATTGAGGTGAGGATAGCACTGGCTAAGAGGCATTTCTTTTCTTCCATGGGTTGTCACTTGCTTTTTCCAAGCTTTTTTAGCCTTATTTCTCCAGTGTTCCATAATGACTCACTATATTTCATAAACACTGTATTAAAAAAGTCCACTTCACCTGTAAATTGGCTCCTATCTAATTTAAAATAACTCATAAAGATAAATATATTTTAAGTCCATGGGCATCTATCCCAGAATTAACATTTTCACCATGTCTTCCTATAACTGTTTCTGTTATCAATCTACACAGGAAAAAAAAAACAGATACTAGGTTTTTTTTTCTAAAATAAATTCAATGATAAATACATCTGCTTTTTAATCAAATAATGGAATGGAGTCGCATAAAGGACCAAACTAACTCTCACACAACTTTCTATCCTATGCTATTAACTCAGACTCCAGCTTTCTCAAAATGTCTTATAAAACAAAATGGCAGAGCTTGTCTTGTTCTCATCACTAGGCACCTGCAGCGTGGTCTAGGCCATTATAGAATCAGACATTTCTTTTCTGCAAACAGGCACAGCCTCAATAGGATTCCTGCAGAAGCATTTCCTTGAACAAGCCTCCTAGCTCCCTCTGGAATGAGTTCTCCAGCAATGCAGTTACTGGAAAGAGTGATGGCTGCAGAACACAGCTCCAGCCATAAAAGATTAAAAAACCTCAAAATAATGGTAAGACACGTCTCAGTTTGAGCCCCTTGGAAAGACTGGGCACTTGGATAGTATGTTTATGGATCCTTACTGCTTTTAGATATGGACATGCAGCTGCTTAACTCTGATGTCCCAGAACTTTCAGCCAAAGGCTAAGGGGATTGCTAGGATCAAGGAAAAAAAAAGAAACAAAAAAAAAGAGGAAGGAGAAAATAACCACAGTTCTTTCTGAAATGGAGACAATAGCAGGGCAGAGAAGAAACTGAGAGACCAGTACTCACTGAGGGGGACAAAAAATGGGAAATGAGTGCAATGGAACAGGAAGACACATAGGCACGTGCAAGAATATGGATTATATTATGGCACTGCTGCTAATTCTCTCAGCTATTAAGTACAGTATAACGTTTTCAAGATAGCTTTATTAATTATATTTTGAGAATTGCAAAACTGTGCACGAATGAAACAAAAGAATCTTGGGGTTTTTTTCATCGAAATAAATACATTTTTAATGACCTACATTTGTATCAATGCTAAATGAAAACAATTTTCTATGGCTTTTAAAGGGGTTTTGAAGAATTAGGATAAAATATATACCTTAAACAGAACACGTTTTCTTTTAATTCTAAAACTTTCCTAAGAGAGAATTTCCTTGCCTCTGATTTTTGTAGTCTTAAATATTGCAAAAAAGCAAACATAATTTGTCACTTCGGCACAGCTGATTGAAGCTATTCACAGGGAAAATGATGCTTTGAAAGGAAAGAGGTACATACCTTGCAAAGTCTAATGGGGGGCAAACAGGCTGCGTTACAAACCGGGGATGCTCCCGTGGGCTTTGTAGGATCGCTCGAGGCAACACATTCATTTTAACTAAAACAAACAAACAAAACCAACATTAGTTGAAACAACGTCTTCAACGCAGATAAGCAATGCAGTTTCTTATCCTTGTGCTGCTTCCCAGTCCACTCTCTTTTATTTCCAGACTACATTTAAACCCCATCTCCGGTTCCACACAAATCTCTTCGGCGTTACCTCAGTAGGACATAGCACATAGGAATGGTCATGCTCTATCTTTCAGTGGTTTCCTCTCTTTCATTGTGGTGCTTCTGATTTGCACAGGAACAGCTGATTCAGGAACCACACTTGCATGGGATTCCGTGTGCTTCCTCAAGCTACCCAGGTCCAAGTATTAACAATATTTTACATTAATACATAAGGTGAACAAATGATGGAACAGGCAGTGTGCGATGCAACGACAGGCACTGTATTAATGTTCGAAATACTACATAATCATAAGAGTAACAATCTTTTGAAGAAAGAATGTAGGTAATGCTATACTTACAACACAGGGTTTTACTTAAAACAAAAGCCAAAAGCCCCATAGTTATGTAGAATCGTCTAGCTTGTCATCTTGAAGTACATAAATGCTAATAGGATTTTTTTGTCATATAGCGCTACTGTGTTTTTTCCCCAAGTATTCAGTCTACACTTTCTACCATTAAAGTTTCAGCTGCCAGTTCCTTCATTTTGCATGTCTGTGATCTGAGGACGTTAGCAGCAGGAGCACCCTTACTTTTAAATTTGGTTTAATGTAGGTATTGCATGCCCTGCTGGTAGGCCTGAAGGCACAAACTTTTAATAGGGATGGAAAAACAGAATATAATAAGAAGGGGAGAAAGAATTTAACTATTTGCTACATTTAGTGAAATGAAATTTATGTTATGGAAATAATTATTATATATGAATCAATTTGTAACTGAATGATCAGCATCAGACTAGCAGATGTTTTATATTAGCCTTTCTGGGATCAAAAGCCATTTCACTGATGCAGTATTTTTCTGCAGTTCTAATGAAGTAATTTTTTTTTATTGTGTTACTTGGAACTGAATAACAAAGACAGTTATAGGTTGAAAAGATGACAGGATAGGTCATATCTCCTAAGTCATTCTTTTAGGACCAAGTATTATGATAACATTTGTTATAGAAAGAATATTATTTATAAATAATCTAATCTGCAAGAGGCAGAAGTATTTTACAGAAGTGTATCATGGAAAATAAAAAATTAATAGAATAAAAATATATAGGTCATTCACCAGTAAAAAAGATTACACTTCTCATAGAAAATGACAGGTTTGTATACAGGAACTATATAGAAAGGAAAATCCTTTTTTGGGAAGATGCTATTCAGCGAGAAATATTAACTAAACTTTGAAACAACAATAATGAAGTCCAGATAAGATGCAAAGGTTTCTACAAGCCTCTTTGTTTTGAGGTATTAAGTGAGAAAAAGAAAACATACGTGCCTTAATGGCAGCTGATGAACTCGGCAAGGCAGGGGAGCTGTCTGGCTGCAGCCATGGGGCAGAAAAGGCAGGGGGAAGCACCTGAAGGGAGACCCCGGTACAGCCACTGTAACCATGAAAAGCCATGTAATTTTTGGCCTGTCACAGGCTCCAGGCTGCACCCACTGGGGACCTGGCTGGAGCAGGCATCTCCTTGCTGGCTCACACACTCCGGATTCCCACCCCACGGAAATTAAATCTCTGGGAAAACAGGCTGCCTAGTACACAGGTGTCACACGAACATGAGGCACATATGCAGACATTTTTTCTTAGTACATTACTGCCTCACAAGGATCAAAACTACTGCCTTGACTCCTGTTTCAAACTCAAAGCTTGGGAAATTAAAAAACCACTCTGCTTCATAATAATGCCGATTTAACTCTTACGTTAAAAGTGGGAGGTATCTTTCAGAGTGAAATGGAGGGTGCACTTCCCTAATTTCCAAGGTAACTGTGATTCTTGCAGGTAAATTATCACCACAGAGACACAAGCAGAAGGCATCAGCAACACATCCTTCTATTATAGTCATGTAGATTTCGTCGCCGGTCATTTAAAGACTGGTAACCCCGTTACATCTTACTCCTTTATTATAAAGCTCAAGCTACATCTCATTTACTTAATCGAATACCCACGGAATTCAGCGGAAGACAAGGCAGTGCAGTTTGTTCCTGAAGAAGTACTCTGCTGAACCACATGATGGAGGGAATCACCCCACGGGCTGGAATCGCTCCAAGGTGTGCTGAAGCCGAAGGCAAAACGCCAGCTGACTGTAACTGTGCCTTTCCTGGCACCTTTCAGTAAACCTGTCGGCCACCTCTCAGCCCTTCCCACACATTTTCCGAGGCGTGCTCAGACCTAACTGGAGGCTGAGGGTTTCCAGGGATGGAAGCAGCCGAGGGGCGGCTATGCACGGCTGTCTTTGCGGGCACCTCCGAAGATAAAAGGAGGTCAGAGTGTGGCAGGACAGACTTACAGCCACGGCACTTTATTACACTGAAAGTAATAAAGTGAAATGAGTTTTTTTTGTTTGTTTGTTTGTTTGTTTTTGTTTGTTTGTTTTTTAATCTATAGCCAGAGTGATAGTGGTAATTTGCTCCAAGTAAGATGGACGAGGCCATGGCCGCAACCTGACCCATAGCCTGGATGCCCTCCGTTCCTGTGGCTCCGGGAATGCAGCCGCCCTCCGCCGCTCCCTGTTCCCAACCACCGCCCGGGGACGCTCCGGCTTCTCCCTTCACCTGTGAGCCGGCCCCATACGGCCCACACACCCTCACCTTTGGCTTCGGCACCGTCTCGGCCTCTTTACAATTGAAATACAAAGCACATTAGCTGGCGTGCCCCGGGCAATGGACCTGGGCTCATGGTGAGGCGGCGGGACGAGCTCCCCGCGGCGCTTCAGGGCGGCCCGGGACGCCGCGGCCTCGCTATGGCGACGGGGAAGGGCGGCGCTGGGGGCCGGGCTCCGGCAGGCCCGGGCAAGGAACCGGCCCGGCCATCCCCTCAGGGCAGGGGCGGCGGGCCCGGGAGCCGCGAAATAGGCTTTATCCCGTGGAAAACGTGGGAGCTGCGAGAAATCGGCACGGCTCGAGGGGCTGGTGTGCCTTCTGGGAGGTCAGCTGGAATGAGTTGTCTCAAACGGGAGCATCCCTCAAGGCTGGGCGAGTGTCTGAAGTTGGCAAGCAGAGAGCCAGGACAATATTGTACTGATACCTAAGGAAGTGTGGGCAGTGTCACAGATGACACGTGGACACACCTGCACAGAGCAGGCTTTCTTCTTTCACAGAATCACAGAATGGGTCAGGCTGGAAGGGACCACAGTGAGTCATCTGGTCCAAGCTCCCTGCTTGAGCAGGGCCCTCCCAGAGCACATGGCATAGGATTGTGTCCAGATGGTTTGTGAATATATCCAGTGAGGGAGACTCTACAGCCTCTCTGGGTAATCTGTTTCAGTTCTTGGTCAGCCATACAGTAAAGAAGTTCTTCCTCATATTCCAGTGGAACTTCCTGTACATCAGTTTCTGCCCTTTGCCTCTCGTCCTATTACTTGGCACCACCGAGAAGAGCCTGGATCCATCCTCTTGGCACCCTCTCTTCAGAAACTTATAGGCATTCATGGTCCCCTTGCTTGCCTCTTCTCAAGGCCGAAGAGGCCCAACTCCCTCAGCCTCTCCTTGCAAGCAAGATGCTCCAGTCCCTTAATCATCTTTTTGCCCTCCGTCCTTCCAGGACCTGTGATCTTCTCCAAAATCCTTCAGGACTTCTGAGCAGGGGGAAAGAGCAAGTACAAAAAATACTAGACTGAATATCTTAGTAAGTGACATAACATGAAGACATTTGGTTTGTGGAAAACATTGTCACTTTCTGTTGATGAGAGCCTCCTGCTTAATTAAATGTCCCAAAGAAGCTGTTCTTCTAAGCAACTGATCTCCTCACAGTCAAGGGGCTGGTCAGAAACGGAAATATTGAGAAGGAACCAACGAGCTTTTGCTAAATGCAAATGAAAACTGTAAGAGAAGACAAAGAGCAGAGGTTTTTCAGTAACTTCCCTTTTCGTGTTGGAAACTTGACACCAACAGAAGAGATCATTTTTTAACACAGATTTGACCTAGTTTTTATTGCTAAAACTGTTCGGAAAACAAAAATGTCAAAATCAATTGTTATAATCTATTTTGGAAGGATCAAGTGGACAGAAAGCACTTCAAAAGGGGCATTACCTTTTCTGAGTTGATGGCAATCGGAAGCAAAGGATCTTGAATGTTTATGGGTCAGTGTTCTGATGGATAAGTCAGAAGCTGACAGGATACTTAGCTGATATCAAATCACACTAGAGAACAGCATGACCTATGCCTTACCCACCACATATAGGGAAAGCACTGCTGTACTGAATGAATTTCAATCTGAGTGACATATGCTGAAGGTCTCATGCTGCCAGTGTTAAAATGTACTTCAAATTTCAAAATATTTAAAATGTCAGTTTCCTAACTCAAAAAGTGTTGCACCCAACACAGAGGAATTCTATATTAGACCTCATCTTGTCAGATAAAAAGGAATTGATCACAGAACTAAAAATTAGCCATAGCTTAGGTGTAACTGATAGTGATTTGATGACATTTTTTATGTGCAAACAGAATCAAGTCCAAACCAATAATATATATATTTAATCCTTTGAAAGGGCTAATTTTATAAAGGTGAATACTATTATGAGGTAATTCTATAGTAATACTATGAGGCAATTCTGTTGGGAGAAAGAATTTAATCTGAAATGGGAGAATGATAACTGGAAAGCGTTTAAGGATTTTAGCGCAGATAACACATAGCCATAATCCCACATTTGCTGAAAAAACAGGGTAGTTTACAAGGAAAACATCTGTGAAACAGAAGAAAAAATGTGGTATCATACATGTACACTGAAAGTTAGGAATTGTAAAAATTACTGTGGGAAGTAAAAGGTTATAAGGAAATGCACATAAGGTCAACAGAATTAAAATGAGAAAAATGGAAGGGTTTTGCAAATACAGAACACAGAAA